TCACCATTCACTTGAGGTTTTGGGTTACTGTGACATAGGCAATACTTTCAATTGTTTTTGCTTAGTACWCTCTTTTGGCAAACTTGCACAATACCCTTCAAATTCAAGCATTTACCCTGCCACCTTGATGCATGTCAAAAAACTGTTCTAATTATCTTCAGTCACTGGTCAGGACTTCTTAAATTATTGATTACTTTCAGCAACCTTCAGTTACTTATCATTAATATTTCAGTGTGAAGTGTCCCAATCCAACAAGGTTATACATCAGTCTGTTTACAAATGTTAAGAAGTATGTTTGATGCAAATACATACAGACTAGATGTAAGGAAKGAAATTTTTTRCAGTGAGGATGGTTAAACWCTGGAATAGTTTGCCCAGGRAGGAGGTAGATGCCCCATCAAGGGGCTCTGAGCAACCTGGTCTAGTTTAAGATACCCCTCTCCTTAGTTGGGGTTTGGACTAGATGACCTTTAAAGGTACCTTCCAACCAAAAACATTCCATAATTCTATGATTCTATGATGTAAATGAGATAAATACAATACTCATAGCTCACTCTCAGGATAACCATCAGCTTTGGTCTCATGGAGCATGTAAGATCAATAACTCTCCAAAGTTTCATCAATAAAGTATCATAGGACTCTTCAGCTGGGCAGAATTTATCTTACTGTGATGGAAAAGCCACCTGGATTTTCTGGCCTGCAGCAAGCCAGGGGAGAGCACARTGCCCTGCTGGATCTCTTGGGGTATGTCAGAATTTAATACCAGTTCTTCACTGTCTATATAAATRAAAAAAATATTTCTAAAGGTGGCATGTACATTGCTTTATGTTTCCCAGATTATTTCTCCTTTGAGAGCAARGTAATGTGTGACTCTGGTATGTTGTCATGTTGTCTCATGTTCCAGGGAAGTAATAAACTTCAAGTGGCCTGGTTTTTATAGGAAAGGATATTGACAGAATGAAAAGTTTTCTGTCAAGTACAAATTCTTTCTTCTTGTCAGGGTGTCAGTTCAGATTAGGTGCCTTCTGAGCCTTTATTATTTTATTCATAGCTCATACAAACATGGATTTGCATATACTGCTTGTTTCTCAGCCCTTAAGCATATAATTCAGTTGGATTCTTAAAAGGAAAGCAAGAGTACATAGAAGGAAGAAGCAAGAGCAGCTAGAAACCTGGCAAAAAAGGCCTAACTCAACATTATGTAGATTTTGAAGATGTAGTCATATTATGGCACATTATTTCACAATTGTRGATAATAACTCTTTGCAATGGCCATATAGGTATTTTAGAAGCAATTTCATTCCTACTGATAAACAATCTGCTAGCCCTGTTCAGGTTTCAGATTGTGTATCACAGACATTATGCCATCAAGCATATGCCCAGAAAAGACCCAGCTGCTGCAGGCCTATAAATAAGGGCCAATGTGTCCCTGGCACGTGTTCTGCCACTTCCAKGCTGCATTACTGTTCCTACAAGACAAAAACCTAATTTATATTTATCAGTATGAGTGGCTGTTCTCTAGTGATTTCCCAGTGACTCACTCACCTTTAATCTTTTTCTTTTTACTTCTGCTGTATATGTATTTTTATCCTTTCCACAAATATACTTACTTTAAAATACTATCAGTCCAATACATGATTTTTATGAAATTTTAATTTCAAATAAGGTCTAATTCTGTCTTRATAATGGTGGCCAGTTTTATGTTTCATGTTCAGCAATTTGGGATGGTTAATAGAATTCTGAGATTGAATAATCTCTATATTTAAAACAAAAATTAGACTCAGATTATTTTGATTTCAGAACTAAAGATAAGTATTTTTAAAAGATTTTATTATGTAGTTGATAATACCTTGGACATGTAGAATTACTGTAGAGTTACTGGTTATTGCGGTTGGTGGTGTGGGACAGCAGAACTGATATTTTTGAGCAGAATGGAAATGCTTAAATCTCGGAAAAAAACAGAATCACATGGCTTCATGCCTGATATTTAAAGATAATCTTCCATCGTCTGCTAACATCTGACTTAGTTTARATCTTAGAATTTATAGAAATGCTCAGTACTAGCAAAATGGAGAACATATTGCAGCAACCAGAAGACTTTACAATGCTTTTTTTCCAACAATGATAAATTTTCTTTTTTTCTCTTTGCTACATATATGCTTTTTAATTAAGGTTTATCRTCTTCACTCAATCAGTTCATAGAATTCCAGACTTTTTGAAGTCTACTCTAACAGTTCTTTTTTGATTCTTAACTCATTTAACTTCTCCCAGACATACTATTAATGTATTTCCTTTATTAGAGAGATATTTAGGAAGAATTTACTTGTCAGTAGTTTACATTCTAACCATTTTCTGAGTAACCCATCATTTTTATTTATTCTTCTCTGACATTTACATTCATGCAGTGTTAATTACAGAATGTTGAATAACATTCAGAAAATCAAATTGAGTGTTAAGGGCAATTAGGAAAGGGGAGTAGAATACAAAAGAAGGAACATCATTGTGTCAGTATCACTGCTTGGTGAGCCCTCTGCTTGAATGAGGAAATCTGTGAAAATGTGATCCCKGTCACATCACTGAAGAGAGGATGAAGGGTGACAGGGATGGAATCCTGGAACATCTGGGTGAGTAGGTTAGTATTTTTCATTCCCGAAAGGAGAGGAATAGGAAGTACATGGGAAGTCTGTGAAATCACAAAGAGAGGATGAGCAAAGAACAGTTCTTCATTGCCWTCTAAAGTAAGAGATAGTGATATCAAACTTGGCGAGATAGCTAAAAACAAAATGGAGAGCATGCAGACTGTGGAAGGGGGTATGCTCTAAAGGCAACTGAGAAGGGAATTTTAGGAARTTGGATTGGTAGACATGCAAAACAAATTCAGCACCGTTTGACAATGAAGTGTGAGAGCCCCAAAGYGTTGCAGGAGGAGCAGCAGTACTGCATGTTCGACCTGGTCTCGTGTTGATTTCACTGTTCTCTAGGTCAGCACTGTTGGCTGCATTTACCAACAGAATATTGGGTGACACAGACATATYGTATGATCCAATGTCTATTCTAGTGTTTCATGTATTGATTTTTAATGTTTTTTTTTTTAATGTAGCTGAGTTCAGGAGCTGAGCAGAGTTTCACTTTGGTGTTTGCTGACAATTTTAAGGCTGCAGTATTTTGTCATGGGCTTCTCTAGGCAGATTTGCTATAATTAAGGTTTTGGYGTTCTGATTTACATGAAAATTTGTGGAAGAATACAAGGATTAAATTGAAGTCTCCTGTTTTAGTCGTTGCTTTGGTAAATAAATTTTTACCTCTGCTTTTTTTACTGCAGACTTAAATGGACAGGGTAGAAATTCTTTCTTTTTTTGTGGTCGGAAGCATTTATTTTTTTCCTGCAGTTGCACTTCAGCTGCTTTGATGCCACTGTATAATCTTCTATTAACTTCCTTTAAGGAATTAAATGGCTTGAGGTAATAAAGTTACATTTGGAGCTGCAGGAAGTCTACTTACAAACTTTTCTAATCCTTGTTATATCTTTTTGAGTCTACTAGCTGAAACTAGTTMCTAGTAGTTTGTATCTGTGAAATTATTAATATTGAGAGCTCATACTCTGACTAGGTATGAACTGGAAAAGGTGAAAGAAATCAATCACATTCCTCTTTTTGACATGTTTTTTGAATGCTAATCACCAATTTTGTATTGCTAGTACACAGTAATTTTCTTAAGTTACAAATGGATCTCAGTATTYTATTTATTTTATTTTGTATTATTTTTCCCCTGATCATTTTCCCATGTTCCTTTTCCAACTCTTTATTAGTTTAACCTGTTTAAATCTGTCTCTACTGAAGTCATCAAGTAGGATTTTAAAGTGAAGTTCCTTCTGGTGTCATCTTAACCCTATCCTTCAAGAGGCCTTGAATTATTGCCAAACTATGAACTCCCTCCCATAAAGATGAAACGAACACAATGACCAGGGGAAAAAAAAGGCAAAAAGTTGAGTCATGTAATTATCAGCGAACAGCATAAATCATTTATCTAAAAAGGCACTGTTACCTACAGCCATAGTTTACCTTAGGTGATGTAACTTCTTGGTTCACATTTTGTTTCCGACATCRTATTCTTCATTCATTTTCGGAGTAAGGCTCTGATAATATCTAACGGTCAGGCTGCTTTCTTGCCCTTTGCCTTTTATTATATCGTATTTGATTTATGTCTGATGCTTGACTTCCTGAGACATCAATATGTCCCGCGTAAGAAAGATGTGGAAATACGTCTTTACCCATGCAATYACTTTCTGCTGGGATTAGAAAAAATAAATCTCTTGTGAAACTCTGTTGAAACTGGATGTTATCTTCTTATTGGTGTTTGAAGCTAGAAACAGTCTGCTTGATTGGATTATTATACCAGCAAAACTTCTAATTMCTTTTTCCCCCTCCCTCAGCATTTGCTAATCAGTAGAATTTTTGCTATTTGTATCACTGTTATAGGACCTTTTGTCATTATTTTGCTCAAATGTAGAACAGTAATTAATCTTCATTCACAGCCTGGGATCCTGCCATCCATATGTAGAARGTATATTTTTCGTTTTCTTATATATAATATAAACATTTTGTAAAACTAACCCTGCAGAGAATGTAATTGCAGTGGTTAATGTAATTGTTRCTCTCATGAGACACTATTAAAAAAGAAAATGAGACATTCCCCGAACTAGAACCTGGCAAAACAGGTGCTACAAGAGSAGTTATCCAGCACTTGTTAAATACTGTTTGATGAATAAAGTTCTTCTGTAAACCAAACAAKAAATGTATTATACAAAAATTTAAAGAAATAATAAATGTTGTCTTCTAGCATACAACTAATTCTTCTGGTCTGTTATMGTTTGGATTTCTGCAGAATGTGGTATTTAATTTGCTGAATTTTAAACCCTGCTAGCCAGTTATTGAGACTGGTTCTTTTCCTGTGTCATCTCAGAAACATCTCTCTTACCTACTTAAATTTTTGCATTTCAGGAGTCTTATTCAAAGAAGAGAGGTTATGCATTGGAAGCAATACCCTCTGTACCTCTGGATGCAGTTCCTCCAGGAAATGACAGCAGTCTTTGTGATTCAATAGACATAGCAGTGACCAAAAAGCCTTGTTCCCTAGAGATAGCAAGAATTCCTTCCTCAAGACCAGGTAAATCACCAGATAATCCATTACACAGTTATTGGTGTGTTAATTTATAGAAAATATGGGTTTATATTTTTAAGCTTACAGTGCTCTGTTTATCACAGTATGATTAGAGTCTTCCATTAGCTCCTATAAGAGCTTCACATCAGAATAAAGATTGATAGCAAAATGCTGTAGAGGTGGAAAAAAGGAAGAGATTTAAACACTTTCCTACATAAATACAAGCTTGCAAAAAGCCAAATTAGAAACWGTTTCTTGTAGTCAAGGTGTTTACAGTAATGCTTTTACCAATCTGTTTCTTTTTCTCAATGTACCACCTAGCAACAACATTACGGAGCTAGTTCAAATTATAAAGTACTCCGCATTTTCATGTTATGTAAAGGAATATTTGATTCATTTTTGAAAAGTAATTAGTAAATGAGAATTAAGAGGAATATTAAATGACAGTTTGACAGACTGCTGTTTGTATTATCTAMTGGTTTGGATAGCAATGAGGTGAAATAGTCAAAACATAATAGAATTACTAAGTCAGATGTTATCTGTAAGTATGATATTATCTGTAAGAACTCAGTTTATGTTCTCCAGAATGATATGATCTCTTCCATTACCCTTATTTGAACTCTTCATTAGTCACCACCTGGTACAGGAATTTCAGAATATAGTCATTTTGCTGTAAGTAATTGGACTGAGTCTGTTTTGACAAATGGCAGTTCTCAGCAGCCRAGACCTATTTGAAACAGGCAATTGACTTTCTGACCTGTGCAATCTTGACTATGAATTGTGATTTGGATAATGCACAAGAATGACAGATGATTGTTGATTAACATCATGTTACTGGTCTGGTGTCTGTAAGGGGAAGTACCTTCTTGATTTCACAGCTGAACTAGTATTGGAAGAGTGCCAGAGYTACATCAGACATAGTATATGAAGGCCAGATAGAAAGACAGCKTTGGAATTTGCAAGGTAACATGGAGTGGATCATAATTCCCACCCCTCCATTAAATTTTGGCTAAAGGAGACTTAAGGGAACCTGAATTATGAACAACAGTCTAAAAGGAGGCACAAAATAGGATAGCATCTTTATAGGATAGCATAGTTACACAGAATGGACCAGAATCTGAGTTGAACATCAGTRTGACTACTTGATGTTCTTACTTTGTTGATGATTTTGGCTGTGATAATCAAAAAAAACCAAAAAAAACTAGTCTGTGCAGGACAATATTGTGGATTGTTGTTTAGTAATGGAAGAAAATAACTAATTATCTTTGTTTTTCAAACTTCTACTTGAATAATCACCATAAACATATGTATTGTAGTGGAAAGACTGCCGTAAACATTCTCAATAAATTGGTAGGAGGAGTTCATTACCTGCCTTCTTARTAATAGGGCTCAACAACAAAGCTTTCCATTGTAATTAGTACTTTTAAAAAAAGATGAAGTCTTCACTAGTCAGAATACCAGGCTTTTGGAAGTGTGCTGTCCACTGAAGACAAGCACTATTCTTAGGCGTAGTAGGTCCGTTAAGATGASTGTGAAACACAGATACTAAAGGGACATTTTAATGTCTTAATCTGAAAGTATGTTTTGTGTAAAGGTTAAAATAGTGTGAATCAGAGGCCTAGAGTATAACCAAGGAAGCTCTAGAACATTCATGAAGGCACCCATGATATTTATGAGATCTAACAAGATCAATGAGTAACAATACAAGTGTACTCTAATTCCTTCTGTCTTAGTTTTTCATATACCACTATGATATTTTCCCCTTGGCATTTTATTGGGAAGAACATTTGGCTGTATAGAAAAATGTGATTTTATTTTAAGCTATAAATGTAGAMGTTATCTAACTGGTCTGGCTTGCAAGCCATATCTGGAATTGTGTTGGCTCTTATAGTACAAATGGACCAAATGAAGTAAATCACATCACTCTCAGTTATAAGGTATTTAGCACTACTTGTATTTGTATGTGAATGTCACCCTGCCACTTTAAGTCATATAGATTTATTGCTTGAATAAGTTTATAGATTTATTGCTTGAATAAGTTATGTGTGATTATAGCAGTCATTATTAAAAAGAAATATCTAATTTTGTGTGCTTTTTTCCCCCCTGTATTTCCTCAGTTTTTGTGTCACTGAGACATGTCAACTTTGGGAATACTGTTTCAAATTTCTTTATTATGTGATATGTAGGGTTCTTTATAGAGCATGAAGCAGCAGTTTGAACATAAAATTGCATCTGTCAGTCTCCTCTCCCTAGGTGGTGGGCCAGTGTGATCAACTCTCACCACTGTCTGGGGCATTCCTAGCTCTTGGCAGCAGAAGTGAGGCTGACTGTACTCAGTGATTGAAAATTCTCCCTTCCTGTACTGAGAGTAAAGCTCACTCTGGCTGGCCTTCAAACTGTAGAGCTGCAAGTTGCTGCTATTATCTACCCTGACAGTAAACTGATAACAGGTTGGAAATAGTCACCTTGCCAGCAATCATCCTCTGATCTACTGGGAAAAAAAAACCAGACTGCTCTGCAGTTGTCCTGAATTTTATTGTTGAAACTGGTATGGAATCACAGAGGATGAAAGCTCCATGCAACAAATGGTAAAGGCTTGTTAGGTATCAGGGAGAAACACTGAATACAAAGCAAATAAAAGTAGTCATAAAGTTGGTTATTTCTACTTCTGAAATCCTATGTTGTGTGAGTCTTATGTCGGTTAGCAAGATACTAGGTTTATATAAGAGGAGGAACAGTTACATTTATCAGTTCATGCTGGCAGTTAAAGCAGTTGCTTCTAATAGGACAGACTTCAGAATGAAAATGACTGCATATGTGYCTCAGTTCAAGTTAAACTGTTCTTTGTTTCTGTCATAGATTGATAGGACAAGTTTGGCAAAGTGTGTTAGCAGCTCTCAGCATTTCTACSTTTAAACTAATAGTTAAGACATGACAGGAATATGCTGAAATATTGCACTCTGTGAGACCATTTTTATCCATTCAGTAAAATACAAATTTATGTTTAAAATTTCATAGATCAGTTTCATAAAATGAATATGAAATAATTCATTAATGAATCAATCTTACTGATTCTTCTGTTGGGTATTGTCCTGTTAGATATTGTACTGTCCTGCAGCAGGACAAAATCCTTATTCCTTTAACTTTAGACATTTCTGCTAGTCATTTTAATTTTTACGCTGCTCTTCTATTTAAAAAAAAAAAGAAGTCATATGACATATTTAATCTTGAAAAATAGTAATAAAATTTATTCGTTTATAAGGCATGGATTATTATTGTCCTTTCGCTTTTAGAGATGTAATGAAATTCTGTGAAATACAGCAACAAATCATCTTGGAAMAGGTGCTGATGAAGTTGGTGTGGTTTTCATCAGTTATCTAGGGTCCAGAATACTGATTTAGATGCACCATCAGGCTGCTTTTGGGCTCTGATGTTGAAGACCCTTACAGACTTGTACTTTGGTAGCTTAGATATTCTGTACCACAGGCCATCCTTGCGCCTCATAACGTAATACACTTTATTTAGGAGAAATAKTGAATGAAATCTGAGCTACTCTACAGAATAAATGTTAACTTTTTTAAAATTTTAGTTAAGTGCTTGTCCCTACCCAGAAGGGAGATTATATCTCATTGAGTCTGCTTTTATCATTTCTACTGCAGAAACTCCCTGTGAGGGAGACCAGGTGGCAGTTACATGCTAAATTTTCAATAATAGCGAGTGATGGTCAGTGCTAATTAAACTATTTTTAGGTGTCCTTAAGTATAATCAAGAATTAGAGAGGACTTTTCAAACTCTGTTTCTCCTGAACAGCTCATGAAAGGAAAAAACAACCAAATTCCTTGGGAAATTTGATCTGTATATGCAGATTAACAAAGGTTTTWATAAAGCCTCTCAATAACAAGAAGAGGCATTTTTCTATGTAAACTGGATGAGAGAATTCTAGTTCAAGAACCTATTATTTTTCATTATGTTACTTCACTGTGGCTGCAGGTCAGGGACAGCTTAAAGAGCCATCTTAACTCTGAAAACAGCTGAGCTGTGGCAAAGCAGAACAAGTCTGGGCTGCAAAATCCAGCTGAGAAATAAGGTAAATACTACGGGGCTTCTCTTCTGCTGAGCTCTCAGCCGCTGCACAGTCAGCAATTCCCAAGTCAGCAATTTTAAAGATAGCTCTTGTACAAGTCCTCTACCCAGTTATATCCAAGACATGGCTTCCATCAGGGAAAAGAATTTCCTTAGATATATGAACTGTTGCCACTAGCTTTTAGCAGACAAACACGAGACAAGGAGCTGAAACAATAAGAAAGGGATAGCAGCTATTCTGCTATTCTGCTTCTTCACCCAGCTAAGTGTACTTTGAAGCAATCTTGCTGCTGTCAGTCAGGATGTTTTTGTTATTAAAAAAATTACTTGATTTKTGCTTAAATGCCATCAACTTGTAAGGAGGACCATGCAGTTAATAAATATGTAATTAATCATTATGAGGCCTTCTTCTTACGGCCTCACAATCACAGCAGGGAAATGAATAAAAAAATAGGTGACAGTGAATTAATACAGCATATCAAACTGTCCCCAAGTTGGACAATTCTTTGCAGTATTAGGGTTTTGGGGTTTTTTTTGCTTTCTCAGCCTGCATCTCTCTCCTGTCATTATAGTCAAAATGATCCTGAAAGTTTGTAGCCAGTGTGTCAGATCACCTCAGCTTKCCTTCTTGTGTCCTCTGTACAACACTGTATCAGCAGTCTCATACGGATACTTAGGAGACAATTCTCCAGAAATCAGAACTGAAAAAAGAGCCTARCTGTGATAACATTTTTATCAACATTAAAATATATCTTTTGCTTAGTTTCCAAAATCATTCAAATACTTGGCTTGGTAAATAAAGTTCTATTTGTCAGACCATCAGTTTCTGTTAGACTTCAGTAACCTTGAATATTTGCACACTCCAATTTTCCAGATTGAGGATAAGATCCCAAATACATATTTTCTAAATCAATGAATTTATT